ACCTGAGTCCAAATCAAGAGTCAGATATTTAACCACCTGGGCCACTCAGGTGCCCCTGATGGAATTCTTATTTTTCTGCCTAGTTCTAGAATTTTCCGTTTGTCTCATGAACTACAATTTTCTCATACAAAGAGAATAAATCCTCATATCATGTAAGAAAACAAATAGTTCCCAATCATATTTTCCTGTTATCTCAAAAAGAGGAGGCAATGTTCCACACTTTGCAGTGATATCTATAATAGCCATTCACCATCATCTGCCAAACCTCACCCATATACATACATGGTTGCACTCAAGGAACATGAAGGGAAATAAGAGCTTTTCTTGAGAAGAATGAGTTACCCTGCCACTTGGTTTGTTTTCTATCAGAAGCCTGGTAAAGTCTATTTGTCAAATAGGGCCATTCACCATTTGAAAGAGAGGAGCTGAGCCTAGGAGCAGGTATAATGAGAGGGCAACCTTGAATTTAAGGATTCATTCTTTAAGTTATCTATGCGTCCACTCAGTGAAAATGTACTGATGTACTCTGATCCAAGTACTGTATGGGGACCAGCTGTTATTCAATCAACAGATATTTGAGAACCTATTCACTGATTATCTAGGTCCCTGTTCTTACTGAGTATACTCAACAAGAATGTTTTATAGATCTCTCAAGTCACTTTATTCATAAAAACAGAGGGCATTCTAGCCTGCAGATATAAACCATTGAGGATAATTTCCCTTGTTTGTCAGCATATTTTATCCTCATTGATCATTCTTATTCTTAAAATATGTTGCTTATCACTGCTGAACATGTACCCAAGATTCTATTTTATCTACACGAAGTAATTACTTTGCCCTTGGGTGACCATTCACATTAATAATTTTTCTTAAATGATAATAAACAAATATGCAAATGTTGTCTAGAAGGTGTATTATTATAACAGTTTACACAGGAATGACAATCACAACCTATTTCTTTAAAAAAGGAAATGTTATATGTGTTGTGTGTCTTTTGCCAAAAACATGTCTTTAAAAACTCCTAAGAAAACATACATTAAAGAATATTAGAGCACAGAAGCATGTTGAACAGTACAGATAACATATTGCCTTGTTTCAGAAACCCAATATACTAGAGACAAAGAAATTCCTTATCAAGGACTGGTATCCGCATACACCCGGAAGAGGTAAATATATGCCCCTCCTCAACTTTATTCTATTTTCAGAACTAAAATGAAAACAAGAGAGACACACTTTTGTGAACTTTTAGAACTATTATCAGATCTCCTGGAACTGCATACCAATCAAATAACAGCAAAACTTTCTGTAATGTGGTCCAGCTAATAAAGATGTTCTTTAAATCAAAATGTTAACCAGCTATAATTTTAAACATTTTTCTCAAAAAGTCCATTTAAGAACATTTCACCTTGACATGTTTCATGAACTGATACAGTACATAATACAAGATCTTATGTAGAGGATTTTTAAGTTGGCTGATAGTTGTTTGAGCAACGATTCAAGATTTAACCTAGAGCTCAATTTCACTGCCTTCCCTGCTCTCGGTATATTTTTGCCAGGGATAAAGCATTCCAGTCATTGTTCCTAATGGGCTGTCTGTTGCCAACGAAGAACTACTTAAGTTACCAGGTATCATCAGGGGAAATCTCTTTCAGAAACTCCTGGGAACTAAAAAGATGCACATGCTCAAATAGCTGGCATTTCTTAATCCAATTTCAGGAACATTTTAAGTGTTTATTTGAGGTTAGACAAAATAGTACATGATAGCTTTCCATTCTGCTGAATTCACAAATAACCATACTTCTAATTTCAGAGAAAACATCCATCTTGCCAGCAACTTTTATCCTAACCGCAAAACTTATTTCTTCCTTCTGATGAAACATTTGTGGCATTGTTACTACAATTAGAAAATTTAAAAGGTTAATTCTGATTATGAACATCAAGATTTTCAGCTGGCTCCATTTCTGTGTGCCAAAATATAATCATTTGTGATCATACATTATTCTCAAATTCCCAAGAGACTGTTGCCTCATTTTTTAAAAAATTTAAATGCTTCTTAAAATTTAGAAAAGATTATCTGGTGGGGGAGGATTAACTTGGTGTCCAAATCTATAAAATTATTTGTGTATTTATTTGGGTTTTAGATTTTACCCTTTATGAAGTATTCACTTTTATACAATACCTGCTGACCTCAGATGATGAGCACAGAATAAAATAGTAACAAGGTTTTTATAAGGTAATTTATAAAATTATATAAATAACTGTATTACAGATCCATAATATGCCAGGCACTGTCCTACGCACAACACACAATGGTGATTACACAGATACGGCACTGCCCTCTCTAAGCTTTACAGTTTATATTTTCTATAAGATTTTCTGCCTCATGCTTTGAAAAGACAGAAAGAGAACAGATCCGGAAAAGTTCGATACAAAACTTTGCCAAAATTTCATGATCTCAAATTCCTGATATTTCTTCTAGTAATCTGTATTTTTTCCCTGCTGACAAAGATGCATTTATGGTCAAATTGTAGAAATTTTACTTGTAGAAATTTACTTGTAGAAATTATGTATCAGGAGATACACAAACACTGGAATTCTTCCTCTGCATTCTACAAGGAATTCTATACTATATATTTGAGGAATGGCTTATCAGATGAATGTTTTATCACCAATCACATTTGCTATCAAAGGATGAGTCACCTGTCATATAAGGAAAAATATTTAGTTCCTATATGTCCAAGTAAGATTATTTAAGCCATTATGGAATGCAGTAAACAAAATGATAGACTTAATCATGTAACTAAGTTTCATCTGTAGTTTCACCTTTGAAAAGGTTAAAAAAAAACAGAACAAAAAAACACATAAAAATATCTCATCTATAGCAATACTGGACACTGAAAAAATACATATATTTATTCTATCTCAAAACACCACATGGTTTATGTGCTGCTTAGTTTGAGATATCCATATTTTATCTTTCTGACCACTGCTGTGGATTAATTTCTCTTAAGGCTTGGAAAAATACAAATTCGTAACAGGAAACACTCAATTATTAGAGCAACTTACACATATCCTATTACCGCTTTCATCAAAACACATTCACAATAAAGCATCACCACTGGGAACACCATTCCATTTCCTCAGAGAAACCTGAAATACTATTAAACTCCTCATTTTTTATTCTCTCCATTTTTCTCATAATTTTGTATAGAAAATATCATATTAAAAACTGTTTGTTATACACACCTGAATGAAAAGCTAGTTTAATGGTAGAGGGTACAGTGGCAAAATTGAGATAGCGAAAGTGGACGCACTTCCCTGGGCAAACTCTCAGGGGTGCACACAAGGTGATATTGAACTGTTATTTGGCTTACCATTGACAGAATTCTAGAATTAATAGTAATCAAAATCAAAAACAAAAGCACACACATGCAACAACCCTGAACTACACAGGTAGTTAGTATTCAGAAAGCATGCCAAAAACACAACTTGTTTTATAAAACCACGAACTTTTCCCCAAGTGATTTTTTATATATTTTGATCGCATTTAAACAAACATACTTCACAAACAGTGCTACTAAATAATCGCTTAAAAAGCAGGAAGACTTTCTGTTGGCAAGAGAAGCCTTCTGGTATATTTTTTAATGCATTGACAGTAGGAAAATACAAACTTATTTTTAATAGCCATTACTAATATATATTTTTAAATAATCAGACATATTTCTTTGTTGTAACCTATAGTTTCACTAATTACCAGAAATGCCATATTTGTGACACATTACCAAATCATTAGCAAATAAAACTGGTTTAGAAAGTTTTGTAGTACTAATTATTGTTGCTTTAGTTTCTTCAGAAAACTTAATCAACTAAATCATGGATACATTTGGAATAAAAACAGGTAGATATTTAAGCTCAAAGTATGGAGCTTTACTTTAAAACTGTATCACTATATATTATCATGCAGACACCTTAAAATAATTGTATCATTTCCTACCATGTAATTGTATGCTTTTAAGTTTACCCTAAGTAAATTATGACAAGTACAAACACGCATGATGGAAAGAAGAGTTACTGAAAAGCCTTTATTCCAAAATAAATACATTTTAAAAGAGTAAAGCCCATGTCTAAAATAATCCTCAAATTGTTTTGGCATAAAAATGTAACATTTGAAGTGTTAATAAAATACTTAATAGGGCTGAAACACACATACTAACTCAATGAAAATCTGTGTGTGTGTGTGTGAGAGAGAGAGAGAGAGAGAGAGACAGAGACAGAGACAGAGAGACAGAGAAAAACAAAGAGAGAAATACATTTTTTTACACATTTACACTATGGGCATTGCAGGCTTGAAATAGCAAAAAAATCAAACCAAAGTAAAATTCTAATAATGCAGACAAAGGAGGACAGCTGACTGAATCCTCCTTTGGTGCCTACAACCACCTAAAGTTCCCAAAGATACTTGAAAGAATCAGTTCACAAAAAGTTTCTCTACAAAGTATCTTCACTTTGGGAACTTTCCAGGTTTCAGGAATGCCCCACTTAAAGGGGAGCCAAAGCATTGTTTCCGGATTGTATCTACAGCTGTGTTTTTCCTTCTAATTAGTGGCCAATAAATTCTAGTTCTATCTTCATCAAAAATTTAACCCTTCCTATAATATGCTAAAACTCTGAACCAAAATGAAACGTGCCTTCCCACTACTCTCAAATATGCCCCGCAACACAAAGAGAGATTCTGATGATGCTAGTTGTGGAACCAGGACTGGTCAAAGGGGGAACAAAAAGAATATATATGTTTTTTTGTTTTTTGTTTTTTGTTTTTTCAGTGATCCTTGAGGCCACTGAGATCCCCGTTACTGGAATAATAACCTCACCAGTTGAGTATAAATACAAAACCTTATTCCCTAGAGCTTTCCCCCCTAACAGTTTTCATCATAATCTAATTGCAACAAAACATAACACTTTCACACAGAAGCCCCGAGGACACACACGCTGAACTTTACCTGTTTTTATGCCGAGTCTTCAGCAAATTTCTTCCAAAGGGAGCCATGGTCCCCCAGGCAAGCGAATAGCAAGGACCGTGTCTCAGAGTTATCTGGGGTGGGGTGTGGAGATATCTGGATTTCGAATTGGAGGGAGGAGGGCTGGAAGCTTCCTCTTCACCTCCTCAGACGGTCCTGGCTTTCAGCTCATTAGCAGCAGGCTCAGAGAGTTGCTGGTAGTTGTGCAATTGCTGCCTGACTTTGAACTGCTGGATTGTTGTGGCTGCTGCACCTTTGGAGACCTGCCCAGCTTCAGCCTCGAAGAAGGCGTTTGGAAGCAGGAAAAGAAAGAGAGAGAGGAGAGAGAGAGAGAGAGAGAGAGAGAGAGAGAGAGGAAGGGAGGGGGCTCTATTGTGTTCTGTAGCTATTTGCAGACTTGTTAAACTTTAAGAACTGCCAACCCCACGGGCATGGTAATATCCATGGAATGGGAATTTCACTCCCTTGGGAAACCCCCCTCCCCCGCTTTCCACACCCAACCACACAAGGTGAACTGAACACATATAAAAGGATTAAAAGTAAATACCCCCACCTCCCAACCAGCTCCAGTCTGTGAGAAGTAATCTGATCGTAGCAAGCAAGAGTGGGGGCCAAGAACTTTCTGTCTACCGATTGGACACAAAATTCCCCTGCCCAGAGGAGGGGGGGGGGAGGGGGTTCAGGGCTCTAAAATGCGTGGAGGAGGAGCAAAGCCGGAGACTGGATCAAGGTGGACTCAGAGGAGCCCCCGAGTTCAAGATTCTAAGAGTTTCCCCCAACCCCACGCATCCACACTTTTCAAGTTCATTTTCCGAAAGTTGAAGGACCTAAAAGACCAAAGCGCTCCAGGCCTGATCACAGCACGGGCGGTCAGAACCAGACGGGATTTGGGGTGTTTACACCGACCCCTGCCGCATCTTTAACATTACTGAGATTTGGGGGCTGTGTGAGTTTGAAGGAAGAGCCAGCCAACTGTGTGCTCCTGCCTCTCAAGTAGTGAACCTGGAGGATTTCGTGGAACTTGAAGCGCGCAGTGAAGGTCTAGCGGTGAGAGGAGGCATCACCTGTTCCCACGCGAAATCGAACCCACGACCCGCGCAACCTGGCAGAGCTGGGCGACTAGACGCGGGTGCGGGAGGCCAAGGTGCAGTGACCACCGAACTCCCTTGCTCCCGCCACGCCGCCGTGGGAAAGCGCCGTCCAGGGGCCAGGGCCCGCATAATTTCCCCAAGGACATGGACGCTAGGATTTCGGGCCCCCCACCAACTCCTTTCCTGCTGACCCTGGTCCGGCCCCATCACTTCCCCTCCTCCCACCAACGCCAGCTTGGCTTCCCAGGCTAGGGGAGGGAGCCAGGGAAAGGAAGTCTAAGGACTGTGGGTTCCCTCTGGCTCACACTTCAAGCTAGCGGATCTCTGGACCTTGGCAAAGAAGCAGGCATACACTTTCTTTGAATCCTCCTCACCCCCAACAACAGCAACCAAAAGTGATCTCAAATGTTTCTATAAGTTTTATATGCATTGATTTAGACAAGATTTCACAGAGCTCAAAAAAATCATTTCCCCCCCAATAGTTACTATCATAATTGCTCTCCAGTTCTCCATATTTTATATATTATATTTCTACATGTATATAAACACATATGCATTTTATATGACGTTATTTTATTTTAAACTTGTTATGTATTTTTTCTAATTGAACATAAATATTATATATAAATTCCAATTGTTATAAATTAGAAAACATTACAACAGCTAATCCCTCAATTCAATGACTTTCTCTTCTATTACTGGAAGAATGGATAATTTTAAGAAAATATACTCATCTTTTATTTTATTTTTTAAAGTTTATTCATTTTTGAGAGAGAGAGACAGAGCATGAGCAGGGGAGGGGCAGAAAGACACACACACACACACACACACACACAGAATCCAAAGCAGGCTCCAGGCTCTGAGCTATCAGCACAGAGGCCCAACTCAGGAACCATGAGATCATGACCGGATATGAAGTTGGAGGCTTAACTGACTGACCCACCCAGGCACCCCAAAAATATACTCATCTTTTAAATGGATCTATGGTAGTGTTACCAGAGAAAGCCTTTAAACTACTAAAAGCAGAAATGATATGTTTTGTTTTATACATATATGTTACATACACACACACAAACACACACACACTTTATATACAACATAAATAATCTTGAGTATACGTTAGTTTCAGTTTTTTATTTTATTTTACAAACACATCACAAAAACAATGATTTTAATTATTATGGATGATTGTCCAGTTGTTCTAAATTGTTCAAAATATAATCCCCTAAAGCTATACTGTTTACTCATTAATATAATGATTGCAGTCAATTTACAAAGAATTTTGCATTTACAAATATCTCTGTGTTTCCTGTAGTTTTGGTTCTCCACCCTTATTAACATTACTTGTATATACAGTTTTCATTTTTCATTAAGAGAGTTTAAAAAAATTTTTTTTCAACGTTTATTTATTTTTGCGACAGAGAGAGACAGAGCATGAACGGGGGAGGGTCAGAGAGAGAGGGAGACAGAATCGGAAACGGGCTCCAGGCTCTGAGCCATCAGCCCAGAGCCTGACGCGGGGCTCGAACTCACGGACCGCGAGATTGTGACCTGGCTGAAGTCGGACGCTTAACCGACTGCGCCACCCAGGCGCCCCACATTAAGAGAGTTTTAATGGAACAAGAGGAAACAACATTACATCTTTATTAGCATAATCTTATGTTGAGTTTCAAGTTAGCACAGATGAATCTCATTTAGGATGTTATTATTCCTCACATAAAATATTCTATTAATACTATTATGACAAACCCTTTGATGGGTAAGAATTAAACACAAAGTGTTAATGTCCTTTAGATATTAGAAGCTGAAAGGAATAGAAAACATGGGCACTAATACTTAGATCGAAAAATAAGCAAGTAACAAATTAGAATAAAATAATAAAATCATGTTCTAAAATATGAACTTTAGGGGCACTTGGGTGGCTCAGTCAGTTGAGTGTCCTGCTTCAGCTCAGGTCATGATCTCATGATCTCGTGGTTCATGGTTCGTGGGTTCAAACCCACACATTCACACATGGGCTAGATGCTGTCAGCCTGTCAGTGCCCAGCCTGCTTCGGATCCTCTGTCTCCCTCTCTCTGCCCCTCCCCCACTTGTGCTCTCCCCAAAATAAATACATATTAAAAAATAAAGTAAAATAAAATAAAATATCAACTTTATAAGTAATCAGATCTTATATGGATAGATTGAAATGAGGTCTTATTTTGCATCCACCAAATTGCATGATTTTTAAAATGATGAGGCCCAACTCTGTCAGTATGATGGTCAGAGTGGACTACTCCTCATGAGTAGTGCAGATAGCCCAATCCCTTGTAGAAATGAATTTGGCTATATGTATCAATAACCTTCAAAATATTCGAAGTCCTTTATCCCAGTTTAATATCATATGAATTTTTCCCAAGGAAATAATCATTTTCATAAAAAACCTTATGCTTATTCACATTCATTTGACAACCAAATGATATATTATTTACAAAACGTTGACACATAGTATTAGACAAAGTACTATTTTTTGTACATGGTAGAGAATAGTGTGAAAAATTATCTCAACTTGAAAATAAGGCAAATTAATGAAAGTGTATCCTTTCAGTGATACAGTGGAGCATTGTCTAAGAGTTCCTCCCAAAGATTCTGCAATTCTCTGGAATAACACATTTTTTTAAACTCACTATTTACTATTGATTGGGCCCAGACTCTGTGAGATTAGGTGTTAAATTGCTTTGTTTTGTTTTTAAAGGTATATTGCAAATGAATTTCGTTCAGGTTATGGTTTTATTGCCCTATAGGATATCAACCAATTTAATTTTTTTTTTAATGTTTATTTTTGAAAGAGAGACACAGACAGAGCACTATCAGGGGGAGGGGCAAAGAGAGAGGGAGACAGAATCTGAAGCAGGCTCCAGGCTGTGAGCTGTCAGCACAGAGCCTGACATGGGGCTCGAACTTGTGAACTGAGAGATCACAACCTGAGGCAACCAACTTGCTCAACCAACTGAGCCACTCAGGTGCCTTGGACATCAACCAAATTTATACCCAACCTATTTTAATTTCAGCATATTTTTATTTTTATTCTTTAAATTTATTTATTTATTGTTGACAGCAAGAGACCATGTGTGGAGGAGATGGGAAGAGGGAGAAAGAGAGAATCCCAAGTAGGCTCCATGCCCAGCAAGGACCCTTAGGCAGGGCTTGATCCCATGACCCTGGGATCATGACCTAAGTAAGCTGAAACCAAGAGTCAAATGCTCAATTAACTGAGCCACCCAGGCACCCCATACATTTCAGGTTTTTTTGAAAATTATACTTTTAATAACTCTAAGCTTGCATCAGTTTTTTTTTTCTGAACTAATATTAGTTTTCATAGAAGAAAGATGGTTACTTACCTCTGCAATCCCTACTTTTCTTAAAAGGTGTAATGTCTAAAAATGGGTTTTGATGGTAGAGAATAGAATAGTTAGAATGTCCTTGCACTCATCTATGAATATGAAGCTCAGGCAAAATAATGAGCTATTACCTTACATATTTAGATTAACATATGAAAAATCAACAATGGAAGATGGTACATTATATGTAACGAAAGAATGAATACTCTCCAATCAAAGGAAGATTATGTACTCTGTGGCTGAGTTGATATCAATAGCTAAACAGTATGAGAATATGTATTCTGATGGAAAACCTGTTTTGAAAGAGCAAAGAAAGAAAGAAACGAAGAAACAGAAAATAAGTATGTCAACTCTTCGTCTAATAAACCCAGCCTCTCTTTGTATTAGAAAGTTTTTTTAATTGAATTTTTCCCCAGTTGTATAGAGATACAATTGGCATGCATTACTGTTTAAGTTTAAGGCATACAGCGGGACGGTTGGACTTATAGATATTGTGAAATAATTACCACAATAAGTCTAGTTACCATCCATCAACTCAATAGGTACAATAAGAAGAGAAAGCAAAAAAGAAAAATAAATATTTTTCCTTGTGATGAGAAGTTTGAGGAGTTACTCCCATAACAACTTTCATGTATATTATGCGGCAATGTTAACTAAGATCATCATGCTCTACTTTTTATCCCTGGTACCTATTTATCTTGTAACTGGAAGTTTGTACCTCTTGACCACCTTTTTCCAATTCCCCCTTCCTCCACTGCCCCCCACCTCATTTCTCATAACCACATTCAAGGCTTTCTGTTATTATGTGAACTTGTCTGCCTTTTAGCTCTAGCACATATGATTTCATTTAAAGAGTAGTAGATATAAGGATTTAAAGGTCATAAGTTTGAAGCTACATCGACAGGGATCCATCTCATAGCTCTGCCACTTTCTGGTAAGGATCATGGATAAATTAATTAACTTAAGCCTCAATTTTC